CCTGCTTGGCTATTGAGGTTTGCAGAACAGGCTCCTTCGAAGATGCCCCACTGTTACCGCCCAGAGAGTAGACTGTGTCTAAATGGGCGGCATATAAGTCCAATAAATACATTAGATCACTGTTATATCACAGTTACAGTTTAGATACTCCTCTAGGTTGGGAATGAGATTTTCCTTGTTAATGATTAACTGTGGCACACAAAGTCTCCTAGAACGAAGTGTTTTAGTTGTTCTGTGTTTGTACATTTGATTGTAAAGGTACAAGTTTATAATTGGTATAAAATGTAAATTTTGAATCATTTAACAGGTACCTTATAGGACCCTGTTCTGGCTGGTTCATTTGTGCATCAAGGATTTTTTTTTTAATGCTCCCTTTGAATATAGCAAAATGAATAAGAAACTGGATTATTTTATTTGGACTCTGAGACGGATGCAGGCATGTCTTTATTCAGGGAGTCCTGTCTTTAGAGCTGCTTCAAGAACATTTGTGTCGGGAATTAATGGACATAAGGGACCTCCACGGAGTATTTACTTGGAGCAGTTTCAGTTGTTTGCAAACCCATCCTGGCAACAGTCATCTCTTCGGTATTCTTCTGAAGATGTTCAAGCTATTAATAGAGAGAGTGTCAATTCAAATGATGAGAAAACTGCTAATTATCTGCGAGAAGCACATGTGCAGAGCCCTGAACCAATGACTATCATAGATGCCCAACCTCCTGATTTTTTGGCTGAGCCACAACAAGGAAGCAGTGAGACTGAAGGAATAGAGAACGAAAATACATCCCAGCAGTTCTTTACTGACCTTGAGATGTGTAGTTCACCCTGTGATGTCCTTGACCTTGTTTCAAAGTCTTCATTCTCTCAAAAGTATGTCAGTACCTGTTTCCGCAGAATGTGGATGCTCGTCAAAGGATTTTCTAAGAAACAGAGGATTTATGAGAAAGATCTGATGTTTGAGCACCCTAACTTTAGCCAGCTGTGCCAGACCTTAATTCAGGAAGCTAAGTTCCTGCAGCGTGAACATCTGGTGTATAGCTTCATTGCTGTTGTGAGACTGGGAATCCCAGAGGACACACTGCTGGTTCAGACCCTGGTCAGGGTATGCCAGGTAAGCCAAAGAACTCTTTAGAAAGAGGTGGTAGACCTTTGGTCAGCCAGTTGTTTTGCCCTACAGCTCCCATCAGCTTCACCCAGCATGGCCAGTGGCAATTGATCATGGAATTTACAGTTGAAAACCTCTAAAGAGCTGAATATTTCCAAACCCAGCTTTGTAGCATAGACTGAATAAAAGGTATAGTAATAGTGTGGCATGTTCTGAGTCATAATAGTGAGTAAGGATATACACGTACAGTAAAATGGGCAGGAAAACGCGTGGCCTAAGTTAACAGTTTTTGAGCTAACAAAGTGTCAGAGATGGCTGATACAATATTTGAACCTCAGGATTTAGAACAAGCTAAGATAACATTTTGACTTGGGGACTGGCCCAGTGTGCAAATGGTGCAAGCCGTTGCAATATCATAGGTGATGAAATCATTCAAGATCCTTTGAGGTGCCAATTGCCTCAGGATGGGCCTTTCTGATACAATAGGGAACCTATTGAAGATGCATCTCTTGGAACATTTCCATTTGGTCCTATAAACAGCTAGATGGCTTTATTCAACTTGTAAATAATATTCTTTGATAATACACTTTTTAGGAGACGTGGCAAGCAGTAGCATTGCAGAAGTGTTATAAAAAGCTAAAAAACTAAGCTAGAATATGCCATGTTGCTAAGCTTAAATTGGCACTAGGACTTGAAAGAAATGGTAGATCCACTTGGATCCATCAGTCTCTTGGGGCAGACCATCCTAATAGGTCCTCCACCCCTGCAGAGATTAAGAGTTCCAGTAAGTCTAAACCTTACTAAGTAGTGATCTGTCCATGAAAAAGGAACTACAGAGAGCTCCTCCACACCCAGATCATCATCCTGCCCAGCATAAAATACAAGGTCCGGAGTGTGCCCTGCTATATGTGTGGGGCCAGAAACCACTTGGGACTGACCCATCGTTGTCATGGAGGACATGAAATCCTGAGCCGCTCCTCATAGGTTGGTCTCAGTGTGACATTGAAGTCCCCCAGGACTATCAGCCTAGAGGACTCCAACATCAACTCAGTCAGCTCAGGAAGGGAGAGTGTTGAGCAGTGGGGTGGAGAGTACACAGAATCCCTATTCTGTCCTGGGCACCCACCTTTAAGTATACACAATCAGAAAGCTGTGGGACAAGGTGCCTGGTGAGGGGAATGGAATCACAGTAGTGTCCTGGGCACCCACCTTTAAGTATACACACTCAGAAAACTGGGACAAGGTGCCTGGCGAGGGGAATGGAATCACAGTAGACTACTGCCACTCCATCTCTTCCCCCCACCCCACCCCAAGGTCTGGCCTGCTGCTGCAACACAGAGAATCCAGGTGGGCAAAATTCCCCCAGCTTCATCCAGCCAGGTCTCTGTAATACAATCAAGGTCTGCATGCTCCTCCAGGATCTGACGTTTTCCCTTTTACTGACCTGGCATTCAGCAGCAGCATTTTTAACCCAGGGGGACTATTGCCATGGCTATCCAGTCTGTTTGAATTGGCAGACAATTTGGGGGTGACTAGGATCCTGTTCCCTCCCCTCTCCTACAATGATTCAGTGATCTCTCCCTATCTCCCTCTATCCAGCATAATGCCAATGGCAGCTCTCTGCTCCCCCTCATTGGCCTCCTTATTTGAAAGACACATCCCTCCCACCCCAGATCAACAGCAACGGGCAGGCAAATGAAAAGGAATCCCTCTAGGCAGGAATAATGGACTTCATCAGTCTCCAAGCCAAACAACCAACACCCCATCCTTTTGCTAAGAAGGCTCTGCTTATGTAGGCCCCTTCTCCCCTAGAGCCAGGTGGCCAGTGTTGACGAAGGGGCGGGAGGCAGCCAGATGTAGGGACCCAGGCCTGCATCTCCCTCTATCCAGCATAATGCCAATGGCAGCTCTCTGCTCCCCCTCATTGGCCTCCTTATTCGAAAGACACATCCCTCCCACCCCAGACCAACAGCAACGGGCAGGCAAATAAAAAGGAATCCCTCTAGGCAGGAATAAGGGACTTCATCAGTCTCCAAGCCAAACAGCCAACACCCCATCCTTTTGCTAAGAAGGCTCTGCTTATGTAGGCCCCTTCTCCCCTAGAGCCAGGTGGCCAGTGTTGACGAAGGGGTGGGAGGCAGCCAGATATAGGGACCCAGGCCTGCAGGGTAGTAGGAGTCAGGAGCCAAACTCAAGCAGAGGAAGCTAGCAGCCGCCAACAGCAGCAACATGGTCTCTCAGCCAGTGCTCTGTGAGAGGGCAGTTGAAGATGACTACTCTGCAGGCAGGAATACTGGTGTTTATTGTTCTGCACATTATCTGTCACTTCCCTACAATGTTCACAGAAGAAGCATGTTTTTTCCTGCTTCTTTTCTGGGCTTTCCCATCTCTCCTCCTCCCCTTGCAAAGAATGAAGGAAATGTTATTTCTCTATTTTTCATCTGCCATTTCTTGCCTAAGCCTTCATCTCTTCACAGCCCACTCATGTTTCTTATTTGTTTCCTGTCTAACATTAAAGTGCCAATGTTTGTTCAAAGGCAATGAGTCAGTGAGAAAACTATATACAGTCGTGGCCGAAAATATTGGCACCCTTGCAATTCTGTCAGAAAATGCAACCCTTCTCTCAGAAAATTGTTGCAGTTGCAGATGTTTTGGTACTCACATGTTCATTTCCTTGCTTTGCCTTGGAACAACACAAAAAAAACAGAAGAAAAGTCAAATCTGATACAATTCCACACAGATGCACTGGCCAAAATTATTGGCACCCTGTCTAAATTGTAAGAAATAATTGCTTTTCAAGCATGTGATACTCCTTTAATTTGCATTTAGACACACCTGTCGCAAGTAAGAGGTGTGGGCAATATAGTAATCACACTTGCAACCAGTTATGATGGAGAAAAGCTGACTCAATCTTTGTGTTGTGACAGCATCGAGAAAAGAATGAAGTGTAAAGAGTTGTCTGTGGATTGGAGAGAACAAATTGTGGAAAAACATCGACAGTCTCAAGGCTAAAAGTCCATCTCCAAAGATCTTAATGTTCCTGTGTCCATTGTGCGCAATATCAAGAGGTTTACAGCCCATGACACTAGCTAACCTCCCTGGACGTGAACGGAAGAGCAAAATTACTGAAAAATTACAACGAAGGGTTGTTGGAATGGTGGATAAGATGTTTTGGGGTTGCTTTGCTGCTTCTGGCACTAGATGCCTGGACTGTGTGAATGGTATCATGAAATCTGATGATTACCAAAGAATTTTGGGATGCAATATAGTGGTCAGTGTCAGAAAGCTGCATCTCCAGCAGAGGTCATGGGTCTTCCGGCAGGACAATGACTCAAAACGCACTTCAGGAAGCCGTCAGAAATGGTTACAAACAAAGCGCTGGAGAGTTCTGAAATGGCCAGCAATGAGTCCAGATCTGAATCCCATAGAACACCTGTGGAGAGATCTCAAAACAGCAGTTGGGAGAAGGCATCCTTCAAATCTGAAGGTCCTGGAGCAGTTTGCCAAAGAAGGGTGGTCCAAAATTCCAGTAGAGAGGTGTAAGAAACTCATTCATGGTTACAGGAAATCATTGATTTCAGTTATTTTTTCCAAAGGGAGGTGCTACCAAATATTAAGAGTGCCAATAATTTTAGCCAGTGCATTTTTGGGTTTCTGTCTGGGGTTGTGTCAGATTTGACTTTTCTTGTCTTTTTTTTGTGTGTGCGTGTGTTGTTCCAACGCAAACCAAAGAAATGAACACGTGAGTACCAAAGCATTTGCAACTGCAACAATTTTCTGAGAGAAAGGTTGCATTTTCTGACAGAATTGCAAAGGTGCCGTTATTTTTGGCCATGACTGTATATAGTTGATATAATGATTAGTAATTGTGTGCTGTCAAATCAATTCTGACTTACTTTCCAGAGTTTTCTAGTTATAGATTATCAGATATGATTTATCATTCTCTTCCTCTGGGTGCTCTCTGGGATTGTACTGCTTGCCTAGTGCTCTTGGGACACATAGCAGGGAATCCGTTTCCTGGTCTCTGGCTCTGCAGACAGGTACCCAACTCATGGAGCTATCCAACTAGCTACAGTTGATATGACACTATATAAAATGTGGCTTAATGATTTCACATAGCATATTTATGGCACATGGTGGTAGCTATTTGTTTAGTCACTTGGTAACAATTTTTACAGTTCATAGGCAATTAGTTGTCACTCTGCAGTCCTGGAGCATTGCTAAAGTCTTCTACTAAATTTATATCTTGTGTTTTACATATAGAAAAACTCTGCACGTTGTATTTCTCTTTGAAGAAGCAGTGATAAATCTGGAATAATTACTGTATCCAGCTAAAATATATTTTAGTGTAAACCTTGAATTTCATAGGCATTGGTTGAATCATTGAGAATTATTGTAAACTTTGAATGTAATAGGCCTTCGCTGAAGAATAGTAAATACATTTTATTAAGCATTTTTTGATAATAACTCCATCTGAGATACATGATACTATTAAGACTGGAATATTTGTGTGGCCAATGATTTTCCCTTTGCATGAAAGACACCTGAAATCTGGCTGGTAAAACCTGTAACCTCTAGTGTTTTCCTGGGTTTTCTGCAGGAACGTCTGAACGAATTTAATGACAAATGTCTCTCTGTTCTTGCCAACACTCTGAAAGATATGGAAAAAACCAAGAATGTGGAAGCTCTTCGGTTTGGATTGCAGTAAGAAAAAGGGGGGAATGACTTCTTATAAGCATCATGTCTTTACCGTAGCACGCAGTTAAATGGACATTTTTCCACAAGAGGTTTTTGGACAGTAAATTACAGCAGTAGTTTAATGCAGTACTGGAAGATACCAATTATGTTACTATGGGCGAATTTTGGTCTAATATAGTGGCAATCAGTTGAATCCAGGCTTTCATGGAAATAGTCCTATTGATGTCAGTGGATCTGCCTTCTTAGGAAGAGTGGATAAGGATCAGATTGTGAGCTTATTGTACAAGTTTTGATTTCCAGTACCAGATTTGTGGAAGTGCTGTGCATCTGAATGCTGTACTCGTAAAGCAAGAACTATGGTAACATAGTTGTGCAAGCCCTATATTTGAAACATGCTTGGAAGGAGGGAAAGATAGAGACATGAATGCAGCAATAAGAGAAGAGCAGCCATTCTTCTTGTATTCTGAATGCTTTTCTCATTTACCTGCTCCCCTCCTTCCAGGCAGTTTAAAGTGAGAAGCTTCAAGCAGTGTGGGGATCTTTCCTAAAGTAAGCAGCTTCTGGGAATGATTACAGACTAAGCAGAGGAGAGTGGCGTACCCATGACTGTGCACAGCAACTCAAGAAAGAGGAGAAACATCCCTATGCCCAATCCAGTTCCTATTATTTATTTTTTTATTTCTTTAATTTATACCCCGCCTATCTGGACTACTAGACCAAATTTATGGGTCAAAATTTAAATGGTCATCCAGATTTTCTTTATGCTGACAACTTTTGACCAAGACAGTTTTGCAGACTGGGTAAAGATTTGATTAAGTTCATGGATTTGATGAAATGTTACTGGAAAGTTTATGTGAGCATGGGTCTAACTGGTAAAACCTGTGTGCAGAGGGGAAGTGAACTTGTGTATGCTTATCTAGGCATACCATTTAATGCTCATGTGTTGCATGTGACACTTCAGTGAACCACTGTTAAAATCAAATGTAGTACAGTGGTGCCTCGCTTAACGATTACCTCATTAAACGATGAATCCACTTTATGAATGGTTTTTTGCGATCACTATTGTGATGGCCCCTATGGGGAAAATTCACTTTGCGATGATCACGGGGAAGCAATCATCGCAAACCCCCCATTTTTGCACAGCTGGTCGGCGGTTCCAAAATGGCCGCCAGGTAAACAAAATGGCCGCCCGCTGTGTTGCCTCGCTTTAGAAGCACCGAAAATGGCCGCCACAATGGAGGATTTTCGCATAAGGTTAGTTTTGGAGCCCATAGGCTCCAAAAAGCGATTTTAAAAAGCCCATAGAAATGCATTGAAACCCCTTCAATGCGTTTCCATGGGCTTTTTAAAATCGCTTAGTGACGAAATCGCTTAGCAGCAATTTTTGCTGCACGGATTAACGTCGCTAAGTGGGGCACCACTGTACTTTGTGCATCACCTAAATGTTCATGTATTTTTAATAGGGGAACAGCCTTACTTTATTTTTTCCAAGTTGATTGAATCTGTTATCTCTCTTACTAGGTTACTGGTGGAGCAGCAACTCTCCCAAACCTCAGATGTGTTCATATTGCAGAGCTATATGAAGTGTATTGGGAAGGATGGACCACTCATGCTTAAAAGAAAGCTGGAGGTAAAAAGGAATTATTTAACCATATATCCAGTTATAAGTATTTCTGCTACTACATGGCAGAACCAGAATCATCCCCTCCATGTAGTACACCACAACACATGGATCCCAAAATATATTACTTCTGGCAATGAAGAATAATGGTTCATTATTCTAAGAGCTTCAAATGTGTCATTTCCCATTAATTCTTGTAGTTGCAGTTACGCAACTGAATGTATTTATCATGTGATTTCTATATTTCCTTGGAAATGCTTTGATAGACAGCAGTTTGCATATAGAAAGAGTGGGGGAAATGGAAAATCCATATTCAAACATATTTCTTGTTGCAAAGAAAATGTGGATTAGCTCACTGCCTTCTCAGAATCCCTGCTTCTCAATAATTCTTTGATGATAAAATAACTAGAGAAAAGAGCATGTCCTAGTCAGAGGTAGCAGATCTCACCTGCTTAAGACAGTGACATTTTAGTGTAATATCTGTTTAATTTTAGAACAAGATATATGATCAGATTGATCGGTTTACTGTCGCAAATGCTCAACACATGTTCACTACACTGGCTGAAATGAATTACCACTCTCTTCCAATTCTGAGTGCTTGTAGTAAGAAAGTAATAGGTAAGTCATGAGTGAATAAATAAAACTGTTTCATTCTTCAGTCAATATGACTGTGATGGTTTTCTCTCCTGTTCTTTTTTCAAACTTGAAAAAGACCAGAGCTTAGAAGATTTGATGTGGAGCCTTTTCTAAGGGATGAAAGGAGACAAGAGAAATAGGAATAATGGGAAATTGTTATAAGAAAACTATTACAGTGGTGCCTCGCATTGTGACGTTAATTTGTTCTGCAAAAATCGCTGTTGAATGAAAACGTCGCAATGTGAAATAAAAAAGCCCATAGAAACGCATTAAAACCTGATTAATGCGTTCCTATGGGCTTAAAACTCACCATTCAGCGAAGATCCTCCATAGCGTGGCCATTTTCGGTGGCTGTAGAGCGAGGAATCCGTCCCAGAAAACAGCAGGCGGCCATTTTGTTTACCTGGTGGCCATTTTGAAACTGCCAATCAGCTGTTTTAAAATCGTCGCTTTGTGATGCTCAGTTCCCGAAGCAGGGAACTGATCATCGCAAAGTGAAATTCCCCCATAGGGAACATTGCAAAGCGATCATTTTTGCAATCACAAAAAGTTCGTTGCAAAGCGATTTCATCGTAAAACGGAGCGCTCGCTAAGCGAGGCACCATTGTATTTGAAACATTCCAAGCAACCACACTTGAATTGCTCCTAGCTAAATATTGACATGCTTCTACATTACAATTACGCATTCAGGAGAGGTGGTCCAAAAAGGTAAGGGTCAAGTGCAAAGATCAGTGCAGCTGGACTGTGCATGGTTCAGTGCTTTGCATTCAGAAGACCTTGGTTCAATCCCCAATATATCCAGGCAGGACAAAGGAAAAGTCTACCTGAGACCTTGGAGAGCTGCTACTGACCACTGCCATTGACAGTAATGGGTTAGGTGAGCTAATATTCCAGCTCAGTATCAGGCATCTACCTGTGTTCTTTGTTTTGTAACCACAAGGGTGTTTTAGTCTATTATTTTAGCAGCAGCATTGAAAATAAACCAATCTGGTTTGTTTGTTTGTTTGTTTTAAAGGCTGTTAAGGATTCAAAAGCAGTATGTTAAGTATGGCTTATTAAAATCGGGATTAGGTAATTAAATAAAAAGCACTAATCTTGCACAAATCCCACGTATTGTCCTTTGCCTCTCTGTTCTGCTGTGATTTAACATGGCTATATTTTTTGACAATGTTAATGCACAGATGTCTTTTAAATTAATCCTGAAGAAGTCTTAAAACAGAATAAAATTACCCCTGTTTAATTTTTATCTCCAATTTTATTAGAGAACATCCAAGGAACTCCATTTAATAAAATGCTGCAAGTTTTGATGTCTTGTAGTAAGCTCCAGTATTATGACGACGCACTTTGTTCTGCAATAGGAGATTATGCAGCATCAGTCTTATATATGTTGGACGTTAGACAGGTAAAATTTGAAAGAACAATATTTGTATCTATTGGTTACAGTTCTGGTAGGAAATTAATGAAAATATGGAACTAGTGATATCATAGTTATAAATTTAAATTTCTCTTCATGTGAGTCACATGTTTTGAAAGTTTGTAAAAGTAGACCCTTGAATTACACTTTTACTGTAGTTCAGCCTTGTAGTTTTCTACTCAGCCAGGGGATATACTTGCTTCTGAACATGTTTCTGTCCTCTCCCTTTCTCTAAAAACATTTCAAACCTGTGGGTTGTAAAGATTTGGATAAATGTGCTACAACAGCCCAGTGATCACTATAGTAATAGTTTTATTTCATCAGTATCTTTATTTAAAAGTATCTTTAATTTATATTAGGAATTTGGAAATTAAAGGATTGCTTTCTTATGAAACTCAGTAGTGTGAAATTGTGATGACTCTAGGCGGCTTACAGTAAAAACAACAATGTAATTTTAAGACTTTACAGCAGAAACGTAAATAATAAAAAAGAATAAAGAACAGAATAAGAAAAAAGATCGTCAAGGGTTTTCTGTTGGGAAGGCCCGCCTATACATCAATGTTTTTAGTTGTTTTATTTCATCAGTATCTTTACTTAAAAGTATCTTTAATTTATATTAGGAATTTGGAAATTAAAGGATTGCTTTCTTATGAAACTCAGTAGTGTGAAATTGTGATGGAAAAAGATGAAATCAGAGTCAGGCCCCAAATCCACCTGCTAGCCCTATTGTGCCACAAAAATGTATCTAAATGTTGACTTGCACTATTTGAGACTAGTGACTGAATTTATCTCAGTCTGTGTTGATGTTATAAAAAAATGTTTTACTGTAACAGAAATTACAGGATTGTTCCTGTGTTCTATATCCCTTCTTTGTTCTTTCTCACGGGAATCTTTGGGATCTGAAAAGGAGCAGCACTGGGTACTTGATTAGAAAATGAAACACAGCAGATTTAATCCCATCAGAAGGAGCTGTTACCCCTGCAAATTTCCTGTAATTCTCCAGGGAAATAAAGTTAGTGCCAGTTACTCCCCTTCTCGCATTTTTTTTAAAAAAGGAAACTTTTAAATGCAAGTACCATAAATCCCCCTGTACCTATTTGTCAGAAATTTGATGTGTATAATTTTCTTCCAGGTGCTTACTGTAGCTTTAATGTTCATTCAATTCTAAGGAACAGAGGCCATTGTCCTGTTCTACCGATGCAACAACCAGTGATATCTCGCAGCAGCAGATTGCCCCTAAAGATCTGCTTTGACTTTGGGTTGCAACCAACTCACGCATCATGAAACAAAGCTGTGCACAACCCAAAATTGAAACAGGAACTCTTTAATTATCAGAAATTTGCTGCTACCAGTGGCATCACTCCCATTGCACTAACTTTATTTCCCTGCAGAATTACAGGAGCTGTGCAACAGGATTATGCTCATAAAAGTTATAACCAGTGTTTGTTATTTGGACTTGAATCAAATCAGGTGGGTTCCAGACAGGTTCAAGCAAAGGCTATTTTTCATATGGGTTCCAAACTAGGTTTTCTGTTTGGTGCACACTGTAGATTTCTGTTCTTGATTTCAGGTAGTCCTACTTCTTTTGGCCTTCAAGGCTTTTCCCTTTCGACCAGTGAATCTGATGGACATGTTTGCTGAGAAATTGATGTCTCATCCTGAATCCTTGAGTATGACGGATATTTTGTTTGTCCTGGAATCCTATTGTTTCCTCAACCATTTCCCCAAAGACCAAAAGGAGAAGTAAGTTCTTTACTGGAAAACATTCTGTTTTGTAGAGTTTCAAGAAAATGTAGCCATTCATATGTAGTGTTACAAGTTGCTACACATTTAACCTATGAAATTCTTTACTATTGAGGTGGACCAGCAAAGGAGTTTAACCAGTGGTTCTCAAATTAATGTTTTCACACACTACTTGAAAATTGCCGGAGATATTGGCAAAAAAAATAGATGTTTGTTCTACAAAAGAAAGTATATACAGAATTCGAATAACTTTTTCTCCAGAGCTGACAATGGGCAGATCTCACACCATATTATGAAGAACCACCTGCTGTAGGTCAGCCTGCTTGACAAGATTTCCTTGAACTGGTTAGATGTTTAGGAAGAAATTACTATACAGATGGAGAGCCATCACATAGCCTAAACCAGAACTATATTGCCCTGTTTGATCATCCAGCCTTCATCACAATGGACTCTGATCTTTCTCATAAGGCAAAAAATGTCCTGTGTAGGCTCTAGTACAGATATTTTCCACTGTTCTGTGGCCTTTCCGAATATGGCTTTTGGATTAGCAGCTCCCAGTTAACCATAATTGGAGAACCTCTAGTTTAAGCAAATCCTTGAATGATTGGTTTATTCTTGCCAGTGGCTTTTGTAATCAAAAATAGAACCTGCACATGAAGAAGGAAGAATTTTCAGAGACAACCAGGGATGGCTTTGTATGTTTCCAGAGTGCAAACACTATTTGTTATTGCACCTATACTGTAAATATAAATACATATATCTATATAAAGCTATATCTATATACTGTAAATATAAATAGATACATCTATATAGAGAAATGACTGACTTGTTGCGAAGGCAGAAGTTGGGAGCTTGAATACCAGAGTGGTAAAATATACCCGATGGGCGGGATATAAATCAAACAAACAAACAAACAAACAAATAAATTTATTCTCCACTGTGGATCTTGTGAGTAGAGCCAGCCTGTATGGCCTTCAGCAAGCTGCACAATCCTAGGGCACCCTCACAAAAAGAGAATGAGAAACCACATCAGAGTATTTGCTACCTAGAAAACCCTGAAAAAGAGCTGCCATAAGTAAGAATTGACTTGGTGGCACATTGTTGTTGTTGTTAAATAGATATACACTGTCTATGGAAGGAGACATAGGACGTTTGAAGGTATACAAAATAAAACACCATCGCACATCATGAAAGACAGATACAGTTCAGATTACCTTAAATTCAAACGTACAGTCACTGTGCTTGTCAGGTGCACTGTGTATATTTATGTGGAGGTACACATTATTTATAGCATTGATATACAGTATGTAGGTGTATACATATCTGTATCCATAGTGATAAAAATTGAGTTATGAATGTGTGTGACAATATTTCTTCTCCCATGTTTTTTAAGGTTCCTTGAGATTCTCAATACTGTCTTAAATACATACCTCTCCACACTCCCTAATAAAAAATTACTAAGGGCTGTATTGGCATTCTGTATTGCTGGATATGTTCCCCAGGCCGCAGTTGATCGACTGCTGCAAGCTGAAATTCTCCATGATCTAATATCAGGTCAGAAACTTGTTTTTAACTCTCATTGATAGCTCAGTTCAAAGTTGAAGCTACTGTATATGTAGTACCTGTGTTTGCACACATCATGTTTTTTGTGAGAATGCAAGTTTAATGTTGTGCAAGGCTTCCATTGATTAGTTCTGTAATAGAAAGGGCATGACATGCCCATTTTCATTTTCATTGTATTACCAAGGAGGTGTCAGCTAGATTTCTTTTAAAGGGTTCCTGTAAAGTATTAATATTCTTGTTATCAAGGCTGTTCCTATTACAGGTACGAATCTAGAACTATAGGTATATACTGGCAAAACATTCCTTTGATAATAAAGGTGTCATTTTGTTTCATTTTTTAGATGAGCGGAAAGCAGAGGTACATAAAAAGAAGTTGCATACCATCAATGTTTGTTTACAACTTGATGGAAATGCTTCTACTGAGCAAGCAGCCTTATCATCCCTGGCGCTACCACCACAACCTCCTGTTACTATTCCTGTTGTTCAGAATGTGCTGGATACACTTCTGGGAGATCCGAGTCTGTATCAACCAAATGTAGTGGTGTCTCATGGCTACTCCATAGGTATGGAATACCACATTATTCTTACCATCTTTATAAAATAATGAATGCTGGCTTAAAAACAGGAGATGTGGGATGACTAATGTGGAGGAGAGGAGTTCTGAGCACTTGACTTGAAAAATGCTGACCAATTGCAACATAAGATGGTGCTGGTGGAGGCTGCAAGGACAACCGCTAGCTTCTCCACAACTTGCTGTCTAGAATAACTGTTCCGAAAAGTGAACAGTCTGGTTTCTGCCTCCTGCAAATGGAAAACAAAATCAAATGAGCATTTCATGCCAAGTTATTGTCATATTTTATATCTTTCAGATGGTGAGGCTTTTCCTGAGTGTGGGTCTATTTAGATCAGTGAGATTTAAGTCAGCAAAGACACAGGCTGAGTTTAAGGCACTTATTTAAATCAGGTTTCCCACTTATATTGCACTTGTTCTCTAAGTTGTGAGTGAATATAGGGATATTGTAGTAGGAGAAAGACAGGCTCTGCATTGAATACATAATGTGTCAATTAATCAATTGATCTTCATCGGCTTATTTTAAATATTTATACTCTGCCCTTCAGCTGAAAATCCTTCCAGAGCAGCTGATAGAAGATTGGTATTAACATCTATAGAGGGTATTTACCATGTTTAACAGTGCAACAAAACTTTGCAGCTATTTATTGCATTGTTTCCCTTTTTATGTGTAGATGAACACCAATGAAATTATTTCATTTAGGACTCCTGTGACCAGCAGCCACAACAATTTGTGGGGAGATTTGGGAATATGGGAATCAATTTGATGGGCAATCTTGCCTTCCATTTCTCCTTAAAGTGTTGCTCCTATCTGCTTTACTTGGCCTTGGTCCAATCAGTTGGTGGTGTTAAGGATTAATAGAAGGGTTTGTTGCTTAACTTTGTTTTAATGTGATTACATGGTCCAGAGTACAGTATATGTAAGAGAAACAAAACTTAGAAATTGGGGAACAGGGAATCTGTCTTGAAAGATCACGCTTATCCGTGTGAACCCTGGAAAATTGGCTGAGAGTTGTAACTAGGGATTGGACTCTGGCAGACATTTTGACAGCTCTCAGTCTCATAATCTGGCCTGGGGGCACCAGCCAAATTGTGGGAAGGAGAGTCTTTTCCCCCAAAGGCAAATCCCTAGTTGTAACTGTCAGTATCTGCTTGATACCAAGGAGGGGATAACATCTGCAGCTTATCTCTTGTGAGACATCTCTTGTGAGACCAGCCTTCAATGCCAAACTGGCTGGTTCCCTGGTAGTGTGCCAATTGGGGATGATTTCGGCTGTGTGAAGGGAGCAGGGCAGGAGATACTTCGGTCTTCTGGAGCACTGGAGGGAATGCAAAGCCTGGTTGGTAGATCATCTGGAGGGCCTAGGATGGGATATACAGGGTACAGTCGTGCCCCGCTTTATGATTGCCCCGCATTACGATGAAACCACATTACAACGATGTTTTTGCGATCGCAAAATGATGGTCTGAATAGGGGTTTTTCACTTTGTGATGATCGGTTCCCTGCTTCGGGAACCGATTCTTCGCAAAACGACGATTTTC